GATGGTCAGTCTCATTCTTATTTTACCAAAATCTATTTTTTGGTTGCATCTGCTAATACTCATTAACAAAAAAAAAATAATCTGATAACTAATTTTGACAGAAATTGCCCTTAAAATGCATCCAGGACGCAAAAGTGAATTACACAAAGAACATATGAGCCTGATGCAGAATAAACTGATTCCTTCTCAGTTCTGTTTATTTTTTCCTACAGTGACACAGACATAGCAGAAGCAGCTGAGGTACATCAAAGCAAATTCAGAATGGAATTAATCTGTCTGAGCTATAGACTTTTGGTCAGAAGCTAATGATGCCTGTGGTTCCTGCCAGGAAGATTGAAGGGGGGAAATAGGGCAAAAGGACATGAATGAGAGAAATAAATACCAAAAGAAAGGGGTAAAAAGAGAGTAAGAGTAAATAAATAATATTGAGTGAATGGGAAAGGGAGACAAAATAATACAGAAAAGAGCAGTGAATGAATAAAAAACTGAGAAGAAATAAGCAAGAAAGAGAATAACTAAACAAGAGAGAAAGCAAGAAAGAGAGAGAGATAATGACTGAATAAGACTGAATTAATGTTGTAGACATTGCTTAATTAAGAGAGGAACTAGGGTTGGGCTTTGGGAGATGGAGTGCTTCTGCACTTTCTCAAAATTAAATTTAATGTTCTATATTGATGGCACTTTAGGGGCAGTTGTCATTTAAACTACCAATCTCATTAATCTCACTTGTTTATTAAATTCATCATATGACACCACAGAGTAACTTTTGACAAAAAAGAGCATTGTATCATGGCCCTGGCCCATCATCTTTAATTTCTTAAAAGGGGGAATTAAATTTGCATCCCAAAATGAAAGACAACAGTGTTGAGTATACTCTATAATCAAAAACAACCTGTGCAGAATCATATCACAGCACTTCAAAGCATAGGCATGTGTCCTATTACTCAAGTCTTCATAACAGCCTAGTCTTCATAATGGACTAGATATGCTCCAACAAAACTTGGTATTTTGAAAAGGTGATTGAAAATCTGAACCCCTACTGCCATCTAGAAAATATAATTTCTTTTGACTTTTCTCTTAGTGTTCATATGATACACAACTCAAAATAATACCAAAATATAAGAACTTCTTTTGTATACAATTCTTGCATGTCATATAGCCATATATGCATTGACCATAAACTATTTAAGAATAGCAAAAAACTGACAGTGCAGAAGAAAAGTTCTCCAGTAATCCATGTCAAGATCACATTATATGTCCTGATATTCAAAAGTAAATGTCAGTGTCCTTACTTTCAGAAACAACATTACAGGACCATGTTCAGTCACCAGCTTTTGTATTATCAAATTAAAAAAAATAATAATCTTACGCTGGATTTCTTCCACCAATTTCTGTTCCCCTAACTTACCACTGGGTAACACTGGTCAGATAATTACCAAAATTTTTAAGTCAGGATATGGTTGATACATCAAAAATAAACTTACAAGCAGAACAATAAAAGATTTTGTAAACTTGCTGAACAGAGTTCATTGTGACAAATACAGAAGAGGAAATGAATGAAAACAAATAGTGACAAAATCTAAGAAACACAAGTTTGGTTTTGAAATTGCATCTTCATCAGAATTATATAATTCTGATAAAGTTGTAATACTGAAGAATAAAATAGACATCTTAAATTGTGTAACCATTCATTCTCATTTCTAACTTCTTCATCAATAAAAGTGCATATGAGAAAATGAAGCCAAATCAAGAGGTGAGGTAATTTTAATGAGATCAGAAATGGTTGTTTCCATTAGAAAAAAAAAAGGATTTAAAAGTTGAGTTACAAGATCATACTGTAGAGCATGAAGAAATATAATTTGTATATAAAATACTCCTAAATAAATTGCACATGTAAAAAGTTACAATCATATACTTCTGCTATGACTTTACATACACATAAAGAAACACAATTTAATTCATAAATTCTGATCATGAGAATAAAATATCACCTACTTGTGAAAAAAAACTGAAACAGAAATGAAGAGGACATAGTAAAGATGCTGAAATTCAATCAGTACTCCAACTTCAACTACTTTGTTTATATCCTTCCTTTAATCATTTGTACTAAAATCCAAATAAAAATAGTAACAACATATTTTGAGACAGTTTGGACTCACTGTTATTACTTGGGAAGATCCTAACATTCATGCAAATTAGTCATTAAAACTCTAATTTAGGAAACCTCTCAAACAAGTCATAATTAAAGCTTTGTTAATACATTTGTATCTACATGAGCATTTTTTACAAAAAAAACACTAAATAATATTAAAGTATAATATTTTGATCTTGATAAAATGAAGGGAAAAAATACCTCAAAAGAAATCAAAACTTCTGTGGAATTCCTCAGAATGGAGCGTAAAAAAATAAGTGACAGATAGACAATGTGAAACGATGAGATGAGAAAATAATATGCGATTTCAAAAAAAAAAAAAAAAAAAAAAAAAGTGACATCACTTGT